ATAAAGATACCCAGATGTTGCACATGTGTCTTAATTTCATTGGGTGTATTTCCTTACACCTGTCGTCCCATTCACCTAGCAAGCAAGTAGGTACCTGTGTGTCAGTCGACTGCAGGTAAGTTTATTCAGGTACAAGTACACATAAGTAAAGTTACATAAATTATCATACGTACATAGCAGCATAGGTGTAGATTACCTAGGATAAGCCATAAAAGTCAGACAAAGTGACTTATTTATATTGGGGTCCTTGTAATAACTTACTGTTAAGACAACGCTGCAAAAATCCTGCGGGTAAAGCGCTTTACTTGAGAACCACCAGGCTAAATTAGTTGACTATGTTCAGCATATGTTATAAAATCAGAAACAAGAGTAATAAGTTTGAATATTTCGAACTGTAAAAGGTGTCCTCTTCAGATGATTTGTTGAAAAGGACCTCAGTTGGGGGTCGAAATTTGCAGGCAACATATTACTGGCATTTCTGTATTTATGTGTGTTGTATCCATCTGTCAATGACAAACATCCATTTACACTTCAATGGTGCAACATATGTTGTAAACTACTTACCGTAAGCAACGGTTTCAATGCAATTTAGGTTTACATAAACTTCAATTGTAACCCAACTGTGTATCAACGCTTGAGAACTGTCATTTTTCAAATATGGTGTGTTATTTTTCCCTCTGCTTCCTGCAGGCAGCGGTCGGGGTGAGTGGAGGGAGGGATGAGAACTTTTTCCTTTACTATCCTTACCTTAAATGTGTGTGTACTCACCTAATTGTGGTTGCAGGGGTCGATTCATAGTTGTGTGTGTGTGTGTGTGTGTGTGTGTGTGTGTGTGTGTGTGTGTGTGTGTGTGTGTGTGTGTGTGTACTCACCTATTTGTGGTTGCAGGGGTCGAGTCTTAGCTCCTGGCCCCGCCTCTTCACCGGTTGCTACTGGGCCCTCTCTCTCCCCGCTCCATGAGCTTTATCAAACCTCGTCTTAAAACTGTGTATGGTTCCTGCCTCCACTACGTCATTTTCTAGGCTATTCCACTGCCTTACAACTCTATGACTGAAGAAATACTTCCTAATATCTCTCTGACTCATTTGTGTCTTCAACTTCCAATTGTGGCCTCTTGTTTCTGTGTCCCCTCCCTGGAACATCCTGTCTTTATCCACCTTGTCTATTCCACGCAGTATTTTATATGTCGTTATCATGTCTTCCCTAACCCTCCTGTCCTCCAGTGTCGTCAGGCCGATTTCCCTTAATCTTTCTTCATAGGACATTCCCCTTAGCTCTGGAACTAACCTTGTCGCAAACCTTTGTACTTTCTCTAGTTTCTTGACGTGCTTTATCAAGTGCGGGTTCCAAACAGGTGCTGCATACTCCAGTATGGGCCTGACATACACGGTGTACAGTGTCTTGAACGATTCCTTACTAAGGTATCGGAATGCTGTTCTCAGGTTTGCCAGGCGCCCATATGCTGCAGCAGTTATCTGATTGATGTGTGCTTCCGGAGACATGCTCGGTGTTATACTCACCCCAAGATCTTTCTCCTTGAGTGAAGTTTGCAGTCTTTGGCCACCTAGCCTATACTCTGTCTGTGGTCTTCTGTGCCCTTCCCCTATCTTCATGACTTTGCATTTGGCAGGATTAAATTCGAGAAGCCATTTGCTGGACCAGGTGTCCAGTCTGTCCAGGTCTCTTTGAAGTCCTGCCTGGTCCTTATCTGATTTAATTCTCCTCATTAACTTCACATCATCTGCAAACAGGGACACTTCTGAGTCTAACCCTTCCATCATGTCGTTCACATATACCAAAAATAGCACTGGTCCTAGGACCGACCCCTGTGGGACCCCGCTTGTCACAGGTGCCCACTGTGATACATCATTATGTACCATGACTCGTTGTTGCCTCCCTGTCAGGTACTCTCTGATCCATTGCAGTGCCCTTCCTGTTATATGCACCTGATGCTCTAACTTCTGCACTAATCTCTTGTGAGGAACTGTGTCAAAGGCCTTCTTGCAGTCCAAGAAGATGCAATCAACCCACCCATCTCTCTCGTGTCTTACTTCTGTTATTTTATCATAAAACTCCAGAAGGTTTGTGACACAGGATTTGCCTTCCATGAATCCGTGCTGGTTGGCATTTATACTCTTGTTCCGTTCCAGGTGCTCCACCACTCTCCTCCTGATAATTTTCTCCATAACTTTGCATACTATACACGTCAATGACACAGGTCTATAGTTTAGTGCCTCTTTTCTGTCTCCTTTTTTAAAAATGGGAACTACATTTGCCGTCTTCCATACCTCAGGTAGTTGGCCAGTTTCCAGGGACGTGTTGAAGATTGTGGCAAGTGGCACGCACAACATATCTGCTCCCTCTCTAAGGAGCCACGGGGAGATGTCCGGTCCCATTGCCTTTGAGGTATCGATGTCCCTTAGCAGTTTCTTCACCTCCTCCTCATCTGTATGTATGTCGTCCAACACTTGTTGGTGTATTCCTTGCTGGTGTCCCCATCTGGTCTGTCCCCCCAGAGTCCTTCCTGTCTCTACTGTAAATACTTCCTTAAATCTCGTGTTGAGCTCCTCACATACCTCTTGATCGTTTCTTGTGAGTTCTCCACCTTCTTTCCTCAGCCTTATCACCTGGTCCTTGACTGTTGTCTTCCTCCTAATGTGGCTACCTGGAGTTTACCTGGAGAGAGTTTCGGGGGTCAACGCCCCCGCGGCCCGGTCTGTGACCAGGCCTCCTGGTGGATCAGAGCCTGATCAACCAGGCTGTTGCTGCTGGCTGCACGCAAACCAACGTACGAGCCACAGCCCGGCTGATCAGGAACTGACTTTAGGTGCTTGTCCAGTGCCAGCTTGAAGACTGCCAGGGGTCTGTTGGTAATCCCCCTTATGTGTGCTGGGAGGCAGTTGAACAGTCTCGGGCCCCTGACACTTATTGTATGGTCTCTTAACGTGCTAGTGACACCCCTGCTTTTCATTGGGGGGATGGTGCATCGTCTGCCAAGTCTTTTGCTTTCGTAATGAGTGATTTTCGTGTGCAAGTTCGGTACTAGTCCCTCTAGGATTTTCCAGGTGTATATAATCATGTATCTCTCCCTCCTGCGTTCCAGGGAATACAGGTTTAGGAACCTCAAGCGCTCCCAGTAATTGAGGTGTTTTATCTCTGTTATGCGCGCCGTGAAAGTTCTCTGTACATTTTCTAGGTCGGCAATTTCACCTGCCTTGAAAGGTGCTGTTAGTGTGCAGCAATATTCCAGCCTAGATAGAACAAGTGATAGAACAAGTGACCTGAAGAGTGTCCACGGATGAAAGGTATTTTGTTGTTTGTTGCTGGCTTTAGACCCTGTATATTTGCAAAGAAGAATGTCATCGGACTGGTGGTATTGTTGGTACTGGGGGGGATTTTTTTTTCCGGCATTAGTATCTGTATCTGTTGGTTTGGAGTGGAGGCCATCGACTGTGGTTCCACTCCAGGAATGACTGGATTTGGTGTACGATTTCTGCCATTTCCTGCCAGTTTTTTTTCCTTCCTGGCACTAAAAAACCTCTCCCTCTTGAGTGGCTGTGGCTACCCAGGTTTTCCCATGGCCTGGATGTTTTGTATCTTTTTGTCCCCTTTAGATGGTGTGCCTGCTATACAGCAGTTTTCGGGTCAGATTTGACTTTCGATCCTATGTCGTTTTCATACTGTCGCTGGGCCTCCCTCCTTATCTGTGCATACTCGTTTCTGGCTCTTCTACTAATCTCCTTGTTTTCCTGGGTCCTATGCCTCCTGTACCTTTTCCATTCTCTGTTGCACTTAGTTTTTGCCTCCCTACACCTTCGGGTAAACCAAGGACTCGTTTTGGTCTTCCTATTATTTCTGTTTCCCTTGGGAACAAACCTTTCCTCTGCCTCCTTGCACTTTGTTGCCACATATTCCATCATCTCGTTTACTGATTTTCCTACCATTTCTCTGTTCCACTGAACCTCCTGCAGGAAGTTACTCATACCTGTGTAGTCCCCCTTTTATAGTTTTGGCCTGTCCCCTTCAGTTCCTGTTACCTTCTCCACTTGTGTGTGTGTGTGTGAGTGAGTGTGTGTGTGTGTGTGTGTGTGTGTGTGTGTGTGTGTGTGTGTGTGTGTGTGTGTGTGTGTGTGTGTGTGTGTGTGTGTGGAGGGGTTAGTGGGTGGTACACGGAGTGATGGAATAATGTAATGGCTTTTAACAGGAGGTGGCAAGTGCTACAACTATTGGAAACCCAAAAACATTTGCATAAACTAAATACTGAAGACGGAACACCATGAGATTAACCTTGCTCCTGTAGGTACTAAGTAATTACCAACAGACCCCTGGACCCATTACGTACCTCTGTAATCTGTAAATACCTTTGTAACTTGTCATGATTGTGACCAGACCTACCTTTGTAAATTGTGAGTTCATTACCTTTGTAAATTGTGAGTTCATTACCTCTGTAACTTGCTCAGCTATCAAAACTTTGGAGTCCAGTCCCTGGACCAATTATGTACTCTGTAATCTTTTGACTACCGCCCATAGGATGGGTATGGGGTGCATAATAAACATATTAAACTTAAACTTAACACCAACAGATAGTTAATGACAGGTAATGACGAGCAGGTAAGCACCAACAGGCAATAAAGAATATGTAACCACGAACATTAATAGTAACCTTCACCTCAACATAAGGACACAAGGCTGAAAATGCAGCTTATCTGAACTTCTTATATAAACATAAATATCTTATCTCAGTATCTACATGCGACGACACAAACTACTGCAGTGATTTCCTGCTGAAACAAAATCTTACTTCGTTGTTAAAATATTATTACCATTTCGGAGAGAGGGGGGGGGGAAGGAGATTGCCTTGATGTTAATGAAGGGCTCTTGATTCAAGGATCTGGTACTGCCTCCTTATTACCTCCTAGTGCCAACGTTCTGCCTGATTTCTACATGAATATAATATGGACATTTTGCCATGACAGAAATTTGTATGCTTGTGTCCTGACCTGAGAGAGCAGCAAAGTACTGTGTTCCATGGGCCGGCCTCTTCCATTCTTCTATGACTAACTGAGCAGCAGACCTCTCTGACTCCAGCATGCTGTTGTTGCTAGCGTTGTTTTGCCCACTGATTTTGTTGCTTAAGTTAGTCATTGATGTTTCATGCGCTGCTACTATTGTTCTCACTGAAGTTTCAGACTCGTGTTGTTACTGCTGATGTCTCTGCTGTTTCAGACTTGTGCTGTTACTGCTGTTCCAGTTGCTGTTACAGCCTCACTCGTGCACACATCTGAAGGTAAAAATTCACATTAACCTTGCACTCAATAACTAAGAATTCAGTAACACTTCATAAAATGTTAAGCGCAAAATGTAATGAAATATATAATAGTGATGAGACCAGACCAAAATTTTTACCGATACCGATACTCAATTTTAGGACGATACTGATACCGATACCAAATATTCTGCCGATACTGATACTTTTCCTATAATTTTTATTTTAAACATTATTATGACTGTGTTCAGTATATATATATATATATATATATATATTATTCTTCTTTCTTTCAACACACCGGCCGTATCCCACCGAGGCGGGGTGGCACAAAAGGAAAAACGAAAGCTTCTCCTTTTACATTTAGTAATATATACAGGAGAAGGGGTTACTAGCCCCTTGCTCCCGGCATTTTAGTTGCCTCGTACAACACGCATGACTTACGGAGGAAGAATTCTGTTCCACTTCCCCACGGAGAGAACAGGAAATAAACAAGAACAAGAACTAGTAAGAAAATAGAAGAAAACGCAGAGGGGTGTGTACATATATATATGCTTGTACATGTATGTGTAGTGTGACCTAAGTGTAAGAAGTAGCAAGACGTACCTGAAATATTGCATGTTTACGAGACAGAAAAATGGACACCAGCAATCCTACCATCATGTAAAACAATTACAGGCTTTCGTTTTACACTCACTTGGCAGGACGGTAGTACCTCCCTGGGCGGTTGCTGTCTACCAACCTACTACCTATATATATATATATATATATATATATATATATATATATATATATAATATATATATATATATATATATATATATATATATATATATATAAGCAAACCAGGAAATAATCAATGCTGTGCGAACAATTCTCCCGGAAGTCTCTACTACCGCTATAGAACAGTACCCTCTTGTGAGCACCGGTGGATCACCAGGCCATCAGCACAGTCCTCAAGAACAAATTGAATGACCTGAAGAGAATGGAGGAGAGAATAAGCGATATTGATGCCCATGATGCCCTGTATCTCCTCACAAGGTGTCTTACTACGCCAAGACTCACTTACTTCCTGAGGTGTGCACCCTCTTTTGACAACCCAACACTCGATGAATATGACGCACTCCTGAGATCAACCTTTAAGAAGGCACTGAATCTGTCGCTAGTAGATCAACAATTGGATCAGGCAACCCTCCCAGTGCGACTGGGAGGTATAGGGGTGCGCAAAGCAACGCAGGTAGCTTTACCTGCATTTCTGTGTTCGTGTTTGGCTTCCAGTGGATTAGTCAAGAAAACTGTTCCCGAACGCTTGAGAGACGTGGTAGCTCAAGACCCCATGTTCACTTAAGCAGCCAGGCGGTGGGACACCCTTGCAGACTCCTCCAGTAGACCAGCTTCTCCCAAAGAGTACAAACAGTCCCACCGGGACAAACCGATCATGGAAAAAATCGCTAAAACATTGCTCGCCAACGTTTCAGGAAAGGACAAAGCTCGTCTCCTATCGGTGAAGGCACCACACTCAGATTTCCTTCTAGCTGCTCCCAGTTCCTCCCTGGGCACTCGACTCGACCCATAGGCCATTCGGATTGGTGTTGCTCTTCGCCTAGCCGCCCCCATCCTCACAGAACATAGGTATATTTGCGGCAGGGCGACGGATGATCAATTCGGACTTCATGGTCTGGTGTGTCACACATCAGAAGGGAAGTACGCCGGACATGAGGAAGTCAACGACATCATAAAGAGAAGCCTCGCCACAGCCCGTTGCCCAGCTCAACGGGAACCCCAAGTGCAGACTTCTGACGGAAGTCAAAAGCGTCCTGATGGGACCACTATGCTACTTTGGAAGGATGGAAAGCAGATTGCCTGGAACTACACCTGTGCCGCCACATTGGCAGACACCTACCTGACATACTCCTTAGCTGAAGAGGGTGGAGCTGCCAGCCACATGGAGACCCAGAAGACCCGCAAATATGAAGACCTCACCCCTTGCTATAACTTCATCCCAATAGGGTCGGAGACCCATGGAGCATGGGGCGAGGGTGCTTAAAAGTTCCTGAAAGAGCTGGGTGAAAAACTCATCATAAAAACCAAGGACCACAGGGCGACCAGCTTCCTCTTTCACAGACTCAGTGTTGCGATCCAGAGGGTAAATGCCTGCAGCATTCTGGGCACGCGGCCCACCGCCGGGGAGCTAGATGAAGTATTCGAGATGTAGCTCTGAGTTGTTATCTATGTCTTTTACTCCCTATTGTATTTTTGTCAGTGTATTTTGTCAATGTATTTTGTCTTTAAATAAAGTATCTATAAAATATAGGGGGTGGTAGGAGAAAACAATTTTCAAACAGCTTCAGGGAGAACCTTGAGTTTTCCCTGGAGTAAGTTTATTCTTTTCTCTGAGGATGAGAGTCCCCAGGACAGTTCCAGAGGTGGTACCTCCCTATATTTTATATATAGGGAGGTTTCTTCTCAGGCATGTATTTGTCCAAGCAGTTATTAGCTTGTCTCACCATGAGGTACACTGCAACATATGTCACCTGACTTTGTCACCACACTATTTATACTCACATCCTCTCTTCCCAGGTAGGTCTGTTTATGTCTTAATAAAGCCCATTGTGTGGGCGAAACGTTGTCAACGTTGTCACTTTGATTAAAACTGGACCGAACACATCATCTCTACGCTGAGAGATTGATTACCTCAAACTCCTCATCTTCCGCTCTTGTCTGTGTTGGACTGAAGCCACTTGCGAAACGTTTCCGCTATAAAGATACCCAAGTGTTGTAAAAGTGTCTCATTAATTAACCTGTCGGTTTTCTAAACTTTTGTATGGTAATAGTTGTCAATAAAGGATCGCATTAAACTGCTTCTGTGTCTCTTTCACCACTAATAAATAATGTGACGTATCTTGCAGCTCACCTTCCCTCCTTACCAATCCTGTGCTTAACACTTGTCCACTTGTTATATCCTTCTCTTGATTCAGCTCCCACCAAGAGAGAGCTGCAGGTTCAGAAGGTGACTTGCAGTACTCGACTGTATTCTACTGTGTCAACGATGGTGTTGGGGATCACGCCTAAAGCGCAGTCCATAAGGCTTTTTTTTTTTTTTTTACCTTACGAAGTTCGTATCTCGCCTAGTTATCTCTTCAAGTAGAGAGACTATCTTAAGTGGTGATAGTCAAGTGTATCAATCATCCCATCTACGCCACCAGACATCCCGTGTCATTAGGTCAATGTACCTGCTCAAGTAGTGTTTATAAAGCTGCCTTCCGTGTAGGCAAATGATTATTGTTCTAAGAAATTATTGCTGCACTGGTCATATATATATATGACCATCAGAAAGGAACACTTATATTTTAGTGGAAATCTGGATAAACCTGGAATTTTATGGTGTATAACTGTTCTTAACTGACACTGAGTCTCTGAAGTCTCTAGAATGATATAATTCAGAGGCTGTGCCTCCCTCGCCCCTGAGGAGCCTAAAATGGGTACTAAGGTGGTAGCTGATCATCCCTGGATGATACATCAATATATAGGTCAACATGAATATTAAGAACGCTTATGAAATTTATTGTTAACATTTTTTCAGGTCAAAGTAGTAATGTTTTGTGCTTCATGCTGACTGGGATGCTGGGAGAATGATTCCATATAAATCGAATACCTGGAGTATACCTGGAGAGGGTTTCAGGGGTCAATGCCCCCGCGCCCCGGTCTGAGACCTGGTGGACCAGGGTCTGATCAACCAGGCTGTTACTACTGGCCGCACGCAAACTGACGTACGAGCCACAGTCCAGCTGGTCAGGTACTGACTTTAGGTGCCTGTCCAGTGCCTTCTTGAAGACAGCCAGGGGTCTATTGGTAATCCCCCTTATGTATGCTGGGAGGCAGTTGAACAGTCTTGGGCCCCTGACACTGTGTTGTCTCTCAGTGTACTCGTGGCGCCCCTGCTTTTCATTGAGGGAATGTTGCATCTCCTGCCGAGCTTTTATGCTTTCTCAGAGAGTGATTTTCGTGTGCAAATTTGGTACTAATCCCTCTAGGATTTTCTAAGTGTATATTATCATGTATCTCTTTCGCCTGCATTCCAGGGAATACAAATTAAGGGACGTCAACCGTTCCTAGTAATTTAGGTGGCTTATTGTACTTATGTGTGCTGTGAAAGATCTTTGTACATTCTCCAGGTCAGCAATTTCGCCTGCCTTGAAGGGGGTAGTTAGTGTACAGCAGAATTACAGCCTAGAGAGAACAAGCGATTTGAAGAGAGTTATCATGGGCTTGGCATCTCTAGTTTTGAAGGTTCTCATTATCCATCCTATCATTTTTCTAGCAGATGCGATAGATACATTGTTGTAGTCTTTGAGAGCGACATCCTCTGACATTATCACTCCCAGGTCCTTTGCATTACTTTTTCGCTCTATTGTATGGTTTAGAATTTGTTGTATACCCTGATACAGTTTTAATTTCCTCAAGTTTTCCATATCAGAGTACTTGAAATTCCAAGATGACTGCCATATTAAGATAAGATACAATAAAATTTGTTCGGATTTTTAACCCGGGGAGGGTTAGCCACCCAGGATAATCCAAGACAGTGTGTCACCGGGAACTGTGTATCTTACTTCCAGTGTGGTTCGTCAGTCTTGTCCCCTAGGATGCCACCCACAAAAGTCGACTAACAACCAGGTACCTACTTACTACTAGGTGAACAAGGGCAGCAGGTGTAAGGAAACATGTCCAATGTTTCCACCCGTGCCAGGGATTGAACCACGTTACCAACCCACGTTCACCATCAACTGGTTATTATAGGCACGGAGACAATCGCCTTCTCAACGTCCTTTACATTAGGCAGAGAAAGAAAAGTGAACTAGACAACATTCAAACTTTCCACTCCCAAAAGAGCATTAATTTTGGGTCAGATTCGGAGATTTAACCAAACATTAGATCATGTATCGACAGATGCCACTCGAACGGATAAGGAAATATGATCAACAATATATATTATTCATTTGTAAATATGGCAGTAAATGTTACACTCGGTTGATTATTGCCAGAACAATACTGATCATCATTGCCTAACAATTTCTGTCTATAATAACACAGATAATATCTCCACTGGCACATAAAACTTTTTCTTTCAGTTCAACAACAATGTCATGAGAACGAGGCTCTAAACTGCAAGCTGTAGACCTTCTTCTGACACTCTGTCATTAAACTTTTTCCTTAATGAATAAACAGAAGGGTGGAGGAGGGGCTCGAACTGTGGTCCGTAAATTGACAGTCCGACGTTCTACCTTCGACCGCGGTTCGATCCCCTCGTCTACTCTTTTGTTTATACATTAACATTTGCTTATTACAATTTAATTTGAGTCCTTTTCCCTAATACTTAACAAATAACTAAGATACTAATAAACTAAAACCTCCATAATATCATCATCTCAATCATCACCATTATTATCATGTGTATCATTCCCTCCATCATCTTCTTGATTGTCTTTTGTCTTATGGTTTAAACAAGTGTCAGAGTAACGAAATACAAAACAAGAAACTTAGGCAGATGCACATCCAGGGAGGATTACTGATGCAGCTGCACTGAGAGATAAACAGTGAGGATCATATCTGCAGGTTCATTAAGAGATAAACAAGGCTGATCACTGCTGCAGTTGTACTGATAAACAAAGCTGATCACTGCTGCAGTTGTACTGATAAGCAAGGAGGATCATTGCTGCAGTTGTATTAATAAGCAAGGCTGATCACTGCTGCAGCTGTCCAGATAAGCAAGGAGGATCACTGCTGCAGCTACTCTGAATCAAGCTCAGGACTACTACTGGTTCATACTGAACTTGAGATAAAGGTAGACTTCATTACCTCCTTCAGTCTACTGCCAGGCATTTAAGATCTCGACAGCACCAGCAGTGATCATAAGTAAATGCATTCTTCAAGTGGAAAGATGAAGTACTCACGGCAGGTTGTCGCACTCTTCACCGAGACCCACACGATACATTTGTACATAAACTGTAGATGAAGTTGTTGCTTGGCCAGCTATCTTTGTTAATATCTTGGCTTCTAGCACAGCTGTTTACATTGGGGTAGGGTCAGAGAACACTCGTCATAGGTGTCTACTCTATTTGTGTGCCGTCTTGCTAGCAATTTTCATGTCGAAATCCCCAGACTCTGCTGCAGACGGCTTTGTGGCAATACACTTTATAAACTGTAGATCATTAGATTTTGGCCTTTCCACAAGGATTTGTTATTGTACTTAACTGTACTGAGTGTCCGTGGTTTAATCCCCGGCAAGGGTAGAAACGTTGGGCGTGCTTCCTTATACCAGCTACCCCTGGCTGTCTTCAAGAAGGCACTGGACAGGCACCTAAAGTCAGTACCTGACCAGCCGGGCTGTGGTTCGTATGTCGGGTTGCGTGCGGCCAGCAGTAACAGCCTGGTTGATCAGGGCCTGATCCACCATGAGGTCTGGTCACCGACCGGGCCGCGGGGGCGCTGACTCCCGAAACACTCTCCAGGTATACTCCAGGTATACGGTAGGTTAAATGCTGTCTCATATATATTCATTATTTCGTCTTTGAATTCTGGACTCCAGATATTCACAGTTCTCAAGAAGATGAAAACCTAAAGTGCCCAATATTGTCTAATGATAAAGATGTGAAAATTACATAAATCTGACGTATATGTCATGACGCTCATTACATAAGCCTAATGTGCAGCTCATGACGTCGATTACATAAACCTGATTTATATCTCATGACGTTGATTACATGATGTGAATTACATAAATATGATGTACAACTCATGTAGTTTACATAAACCTGATGTACAACTCATGTAGTTTACATAAACCTGATGTACACCTCGTATCGTGCACAAATTGTAACAGATTAGTGTTCTAGGCTATACAGAACCACTATCCTGCGAAGCATCTTAGCAAGCTAGAAGCATAGTTAGCCATAGCCTTCTAAAGTGAGTGAACTTTCCTAGTAGCGGTGTGGCTAACTAGGTGCTGGGGCCCTCTGATGTTTCAGATGGAGGGTAGGTGGCCTTGGGGAGGTTGCCCTCTCGTGCCTCTTGTCTTGCTCCCAGGAATATTCTCACACTCGCTCCACAAAACTATTCACCATTAGCTTTGACTTGTCCACAAACTCTATTTAAAGTTTAATTGCTCTATTATGTACCCCAAGCATCTGTACCAAGATGTATATAAATGTACATACATTCTGGTGATGAGAATATATATATATATATAATATATATATATATATATATAATATAATATATATATATATATATATTTATATATATATATATATATATATATATATATATTATATATATATTATCAAAACTTTTCTAATGTGTATACTTTACTCCTCGTTTTTATTGCTCTTTGACTCCACTAGAAGCTGGTTCATAGCATGACCGGGTGTTGTAGACCCTTGTAAATAAGTGTTCATGATTCAACACATAATGTGGATTACATAAACCCTAAAATACACCGTGTGGCGCCATGGATTGTAACCTGTACAATTTTACTCGGATTTTATTGGCAATATCAGTGTCGCATAAGATAGCAGCTGCTGGTACAGAGAGCCAAGGCCACTTTAAGAGGGTGTTGGCAGACACTGACTGATGTATTTACAGCTCTGGTGCTATGGATGGATGACCTCGAGTTAAGGCACTAATTTATGCGCGCAAACAACACTAAACTGATTCTTCAAGGACAACAGACAACATTCATCTTAGACATGTAAATTGGAGTTGGACCTGACTAGCTCGTGCTAGCAGGTCTGATGCCGTGGATGTGACCTGGGTCAGTGGCTTAAGCCGGTAGGCGACTTGTACCTGCCTCGCATGGGCCAGTAGGCCTTCTGCAGTGTTCCGTCTTTATATTCTTATGACATGCTATTTTCATTTTGATGGTTGAGTTGTTATTTGTAGTGAATCAGAAAGAGAATGAGTTAGAGTAGCTTCACTGTGCCTATTCACACAACACTGCTACGTCCGATCCGTACCGGGGATCAACCCCCGGTACGGCTGGAAACATGAGGATGTGTTTCCTTAAGACACCTGCTG